TATAATGTACAAATGAACATATGGTCAACTTAAAATGTACCTACTTTTTGATTGATGTGCAGATTGTATCCTATATTTTAACATACGCTTAGCAGGTTTGACATGCTGTCCATGTAGATTGAAGTAAGCTCTAGAATTTTTTTTGCAGTGCCGGTTATTGTTCCTACACGCATGCAATTAGATCAAAAAATCAACCAAAAATCTAAAATCTAAAGTCTAACAATACAAAAAAAATAAATAAATAAACTTACTCATCCATAAAAATGGAGTAAGCGTCTTTGTGATCTTGAGCTTTGGCTTTGGATTTCAATGATTTTGCCTGCAATTTATAAATATATTATTTTGTACACTAACTTAAAATAATGTTAATCAATTCTTACATAAGCTTTGGATTTTTTTGCTCTCTTTGGATCCTTGGCCTTTAGGCTTTGGTAATAATTGTCAACCTAGATTGACGATAAAGTATTAGCACTGAATTATTACAGTATATAAAAAAGATTTTCATAATTACCCATTTCTTGTGAGCACTCCAAAGTTCTTCTGCGACTTTTCTTCGCTCTTCATAAGTTTTCTTTTTCTCAGGATCATACTCCGGGTCCACAGCATAAAACGGACCATAACTGCCTAATGATTTAAACTTGGCTTGCCAATCTTCTTTGACTTTGTCGTAGGTTAGCCTTGGTTTAGAAGAATTCTCTTCCTCTGTGGAGGAAGCTACTGGGCTGCTTGATGCCCCATCTTTGTTTGTTGTAGATGAAGAAGAATTCACTTCCTGTTTAGCTCCACCTGAAGGAGAGGAAGCTTTGTAGTTTGAATTGCTTGCTGATGAAGATGCTGAAGTTGAATTCATAATTTGGAGTGTCTGGGAGTAAAGAAAGGCAAAACTTTAAATGGGGAATAATCGATACCAAAAGCATATGAAAATACCATATTGGATATGATGTAGTATTTAGTTATAAATGTAATTGCTGCAGCAATGAAAATGCCAGTAGTGGCAGTTGTTCCTAACCGACTGTTCATATGAAAAGCTAACCAAACAAGATAATGATGTGTTAGTCTTGTAAAGTGGTCTATCAGGAACTTTTATAAAAAGCCAAATGCTACATCATATCCAATATGGATCCTGAACCTGATTGAAACTAAACTAACAAATTGTTGTGTACAAGGTACAGAGCTTATGATTCTTTTTCTTGCAGGAAGTATGATAAGAACAAAAACCTATGGTCTAATGTAAACAATAAGACATAAAACAGCATCATGCTTGAACAAAACTCACAGGATCACCACAAACCAAAATTTTAGAAATAAATCAATCTAATGAACGTAAATGCTCGGTACTCGGTAGAAACCAAGAGATTTTCACAAAATTTGTTTATAATCATTAGATTCTCCGTTTTCATCAAACTATCTTAATTGCACATCTGCTGAACAGCTTTCAAATGTCAACGATTCAGAGAATTCATAGTATTTGTCATTTTTGAGTCATCTAATGTTGTTGTTGATAGGACACTCCGGAAAAGTAGGAATCCCAAAGCAACATACGCATACAGCTAATGTACAATTACACGAGCGGAGATTTCAATCGTAAGGTCCTGGAAACTCACCTGTTTTGCAATGTTGAGCTCCAAATCGTCCAGAAACGACTAATCAAGCTTCGACAACATTCGACGCTCAGTTGAAAACCTATTTTGCAATGTTGAGCTCCAAATCGTCCAGAAACGGCTAATCAAGCTTCGACAACATTCGACGCTCAGTTGAAATTGACGTCAATGCGTACTCAAAAAACACGCAGTAGTATGTGCGTGCGAGAGGGGAAGAGAAAACGGATGTTAATTTTGCAGGACTGTGGAAAGTGGAAACATCTAATTGACTAAGAACACATTTAGACACCCGTAATAAAAGTTAAACATTAAAATTAGGAACACTGGCGCGTGACTTTTGCATCCCTCTTAAATTTATTTTTCTTTTTCTTTTTTCACTAAATTTATTTAAAAATCAATGTAAAAGACATTAGATTTAAATATTTAATTGGTTTTTAGCATTATATAATTTTTTTATACGAATCAATAGAATTTATGTAATATATATTATTAATTAATACAATATTTTAATATCTAATATGTAAAATAACAAGAATATCAAAATGAATGGATAGCATGCCAAATTTAAAAAAAAAAAAGAAAAGAAAAAACCCCTCGTTCGGACCCTTATAAAGACACACCACTAATCATAATTAGTAACAATTAAATTCACATTAGTTGTCATCCGCATTTGCGGTGCCAATATAGACATCTTAAACCAAAATATACTATAGCATTGTTATATTGCATTCAAAATTATATAAAACAAAAGGATTAGTTCCGAGTATATATACTTTATAATTATATTTATATTATCAATAATATAACAATACAATTATATGTTTCTTGAATGACATGTATGTTGTAATTTGTAAATAATTAAAGGGAAAATGACGACCCTATTATGTATTTTGACTTTGTCATTTTGGTCCCTAAATTTTTTTTTCGAGTCTTTTAAAGGAACAAACTGTTAGGTGGCCTGTTCATTTACTCCTTTTTACTTGTTTTAGCCGGTTTCTTTTAAAGGAACAAAATGTTTGGTGACCTATTCATTTACTCATCTTTACTTGTTTTAGTCGGTCGGAGAGACACATAGATAAAACATGGGGCCTATCTATCTCTTTATGTGTGTGTGTATGTTTCTTTATGCCAGAAAAAACCCAACTCACCCCCTCCCATCATCCTCTTCTTCGTGGTGCTTCTCCTTCGACGAACCACCACCACCACTACCACCACTACCACCTTACTCTTCTCCGACAAGACAATCGGCAATCTCTCCTCCTTTTATGCTCGCATTTGAAATGAATCAGTAGATGCATATGAAGAACACGAAGCACTGAGCAAAACCTATGGAACTAAAATGAGGTGATGATATTGCAACCCCTCGAATACCACACAAGCAAAACATCGAGCACCTTATGGGTGTCACCCATATCAGTTTGTAAGTTTCGAGTGTGTGTGTTGAATTAATGTTGAAAACCTAAAAGTATTGCTTGAACTGAATCAAAAGGAAGTTGGATTAATGTTGAAAATTCAATAACATGTCAACTAACATCAACGAAACATGCAAACCCTGAAGCAAAATCCAAAGGTCCCATTCTTTTTCATCTGCGAAATTGATGAAAAAAAAAAGTAAAAGGATGATGAAATATCAAATAGATTACATTGTTCATGGGTGTGAGCTCTTAGTCTTCTACTGACTTCATGATTTTGTATCAATCTGAACTAATCAAGTCCCAAACAAAACACATAATCTTCTAAACGAAAACCCAGGAGAGAGGGTGCAGGAAAAACCCATCAACGCCACCACCATCATCACCATTACCGTTCACCTTCATCTTCCTGTCACAATCGAAGACTAGCACATACGCACAACAAGACCCAAGATCTTTGTTCTTGACATTCTAATCGATCGAATGAGATGGAAGGGGAGATAAGTAGAGATTGAGGGTGTGTTTGGGATTCCTTTTTTAAGTTAAAAGTCCTTTTGTAAAAATGACTTTTTCTAAAAGAACTTTTTCTAAAAGAAGGTATTTAAAATGTGTTTGGGTGGACTTTTAAGACTTTTAAGAGATAAAAGCCAAAAGTCACAAAAAGATGAGATTATATGACTTTTAAAAAGGCTCATTTTTTGTCATGGCTAAAAGTTAATTTAAAAGAACATTTCTATTTTACCAAACATTTTTTGGACTTTTTTAACTTTTTGGAAAAGTTAAAAGTCCAAAAGTTGTTTTAAAAGCAAAGCCAAACACCCCCTGCGTTTTAAAGATAAGGGTGTAAGTTCTTTTTCTTTCTTCTGCAACCAACTTAAAGCAACACAAAAAAAAGAAAAGAACAGAGCATATGACACAGGGGTGTGTGTGTGTGAGAGAGAGAGAGAGACATGTCATTTTCTTTATAATAAACAAATAAATAATTAGACAAATTAAGTGAGTTGGCATAAGGGGTAACCGGGTTACCCCTTCGTTTTGGCAAAAGGGACCTATTCAATCTGACAAAACCATCTTTGTTCCCTTAAAAGGCACGAAAATAACTTAAGGGACTGAACGGGTAAAATCGAAATACATAGTAGGGCCGTTGCGTCATTTACATTAAAGTTTCTATCTTTATTGTTTTATTGTTTTATGTATCTTATGAAACAAAATAAAAAAAACAATAAGTTAAAAAAACATTTAAATTATAGACAAAATTGCAAAAATGGTCCCTGTGGTATGCATTTTTTTGGGGTTTTGGTCCAAACCACGAGTTTTTTGAGTTTGTGGTCCTATTGAGCTAGTTTGCTTGCAGTTTTGGTCCCTGTCCAAACTAAAATGACTATTATACCCTTAATGAATTTATTTTTCATTTTTCTTTTACTTTTTAAAATTGTTATTATTAATAAATATAAAAGTGGGCCCACTTCTCTCTCTTTCTCTCTCTCTCTCTCTCTCTCTCTCTCTCTCTCTCTCTCTCTCTCTACCGACCCCTCATCTCTTCCTAGCCTTGCCGGAAAAACGAAGCCAAAGAGTGGAGACTGTCACCTCTGGTGATCTAGAGGCAGCCACCACACCACATGTTAGCCTCCCGTCGGGCACTAAATGCCACCGTAAATCCCACAGCTCCGCCACCATCCATTGTGTTGGATTAGTGTCTAAGTCCATAACTATTTTGGTATGTACTTGACCCGATTATGAGCATGGTCCTTTTGGGTTGCCTTCACCATAGCAATATGTAGGATGAATTAAGGAGAGAAAGGTTTAATAATTATTTATTAATATATTATGAGAATAATATATTAAAGGAGAAATCATATTGTTGAATTAATATTAGTCAAGAATTAATAAAGAATTAATTTTGTGGCTAAAAGAGATTAATTAAACTTAAGGGACTTATTGTGTAATTATAAGATAATTACATAGATGGGCTTATGGACTCCATAGAAGTGGAGTGGAAGAATTCTATGGGGAAACCCATTAGAAATCGTCCAAGGCTTCTAAAGAAGGAGTCCATGGGCTGCTTAGGGCTTAAGCAGTCAAATTAGGGTTTCCTAGCTTGATAACCCTAATAGCCTAAGTATATAAGGAGCCCTTAGGCACCAAAAACGTGGCCAACTCTTAGATTAGGGTTTCCAGCCTTTTTTGGTGCCTCCCCTCTCTTCTCTTCTTCACCTAGTTGCTTAGTGGTGTTTGTGACTCCATTAGAGGTGCAGCACTTGAGGCACTAAGCTTTCTGAAGCCAATCA